TCGGCTGAAGTACTAACAGTATTTCTTTGTAAATATTTTTCAAACTGACAAGGCCTCACATTAAACAAAGAATTAACCATCTTGGCCAGGATGCTCAGGACATTATAAAGAATTATCCAATTATGCTTCCAGTGAAATAGGGGTGCTTCCAGTGCTTTTATGAAGCAATCTCATAGCCCCCCCTCATCCCTCAATGTCATTCATGGTATCTTATAAAGGAGAGTTCTTTTTGTTAAGCACTCTGAACTTTCTTTAACTGCTAATTTTGCCTTTTTTAATTGCCAGGGAGGGAAAGATCTGTTGGGAAAGAAAGACAAAAGTCTCGTGCACAAAGTCTCATGAATGAGCAATCTTAAATCTGGACAAACCTCTCCTCCCTGGCTCCCAAACTGAAATCCTTAACAAGAATTCATGTTTTCAGTTTGCATTCCTCGTCTACCAACCTGGAGCTTTTCAGCAACTCTTCTCTTTCTATCCTTGCAGCCAAGAAACTGGAACACCAGCCCACTGCGATACAAAAATCTAAAGGTATAGTTGCAAATATTAGCCACACTGGCAGAGTTATAAAGGAGAAGCAAAATAACTCAAAGGTTGCTTGTCCTTTTATTGAATCTGCATGATATGAATGTGTCTAATACAATGTTTTTCAACCATGGCAACTTAATAATAATAATAATAATAATAATAATAAAGTTGGGACCTTGGAGGTCATCTAGGCCAACCTCCTGCTCAGGCTGGAGACCCTATACCATTTCAGACAAAGGGCTGCCCAGTCTCTTCTTAAAAACTTCCAGTGTTGGAGCATTCACCGCTTCTGGAGGCAGGTTGTTCCACTGGTTAATTGTTCTAACAGTAGGGAAGTTTCTCCCTAGTTCTAGTTCTTGTTTCTCTCCTTGGTTAGTTTCCATCCGTTGCTTCTCGTCCTGCCTTCAGGTGCTTTGGAGAATAGCTTGACTCCCTCTTCTTTGTGGCTGCCCCTGAGATATTGGAGCACTGCTATCATGTCCCCCCTCGTCCTTCTCTTCGTTAAACTAGACAGACCCAATTCCAGCAGCATTTCCTTTTATGCTTTGGCCTCCAGTCCCCTCATCATTTTTGTTGCTCTTCTCTGTACTCTTTCTAGAGTCTCAACATCTTTTTTACATCATGGTGACCAAAACTGGATGCCGTATTCCAAGTGTGGCCTTACCAAGATGGGTGGACTTCAACTCCCAGAATTGCCCAGCTAGCAATGAAAAACACTGGTCTAATAGGGCTGCATCTCAGGCTGTGAGGGTGGGATAGACATGTCTCCACAAAGCACAGGGGCAGGATAAAGGAGGCATTTTTTTGCTTAAGTGTTCAAGATGTGTTAAATTATCCACTTTACTTTGCGGGTTAGTTGTCTACTGCCAAATGCAGAAATGGAACCCTGGAGAAATCCAGAGACCACAAAACAGGGACTTGAAGTTGGGCAACCCATTAACATGTCTGCCCTTCTGGTTATATGGGGAAGCTGAGCGAAGGATGCCGAATTGCTGCATTGCTTGACTTTGTTCGTGCAAACTTTAGACAAGCCGTCTAAAGAAAATACTTGGACAGAGGGACTGGGGAGATAGTCAATGGACAGATTCATTCTTTGTCTACTCTTTGCCTTCTCTCTTATTAGGGGGGGAAAAAAACCACATTTCCTTTTCTGCTTTACACACACAGTTTCCAACCAATAGGACCTCTGTTGGTACACATGATGCATCCTTTGATGCTGGTTAAATTGAACAGAAGCAGAATCCTTCTCCATCTTCTTTAGCCTTCTCCTCTTTTCCCCTTCTTTTTGTTTCGCTAAAAGGTTTCTATGTAAATGTCATTAGACCCAGATTTCAGATTAGCCCAAGCCCTGTGCATTTGGAGGCTTTTATAAACAGACTTTAGTCTATAGCGGCTTTTGGCAGAGGCTCCACTCCCTGTTAGCCACAGACCAAACAATTTGAGAGTGTCATCTCTGCTGAAAACAACACAACCCTCTTCCACTACCTTTGGATCTGGATTAGCTTCGTAATGTCAGGTGGATATTGATTTTTGACCTATGGGAAAAGGAGTTGCAGCCAAGAGGGGATTTGGTGAAAATTACTGAACTGACAGGCAGAGGGAAGAATCTCCCACCAGAAAACTACAATATTGGTTTGGACCTATAAAGCAGTTTATGGCTTGGTGCCAGGACACCTTTTCTCCACTGGAGCTAGCCAGACTATTTTGACTAGGACAGGGGTCTTCAAACTTGCGGATTTCAACTCCCAGAATTCTACTTTTATGACTTGCGGACTTCAACTCCCAGAATTCCTCAGCCAGGCACGTGTGCCTGGCTGAGGAATTCTGGGAGTTGAAGTCCGCAAGTCATAAAAGGGCCAAGTTTGAAGACCCCTGCACTAGGAGAAGCAGTTGGTTGCCTTCCATTTTTGAGTGGAAAGTGTAAAAAAACAAGACTTTTTTTTTTTAAGGAAAAAGGTGCAAATCAACTACTATCTATGGAAAAAGCACACCCTTTTAGGATAAAGGACACTAAGTCATTGAGAGGCATAACAAGGAAAACACAATAAGGACCACGCTCCAATACTCAGAAATGTGTAAAAACGTTATTTGCTTTAAAACTGAATTAACACTCTTCAAATATTAAATATTTAAAACATTAAACATCACAGCTCCTACCAAGTTAGCAATGTGGGTTACTAAGCCATGACATGGTGTGTCATGTGAGGGGACCACTGTAAATTGTTGGCCAAAATGTGCTTAAAACCAAGGTAATTTAGCTGGGGGGGGGGGTCATCAAAACAAGATAGATCATCAAAACAAGATAGAAAACACTCATTGCTCTCCCTAGTGGCCATATAAGTTCTGGCAGTCGGTTATGGCATGTCTAGTTAAAACAGACCATAGTTAGCACAGTGTAGACCTAGAATTTATCTGAAATGATAGAGAACAATTTCCTGCCTTGGTAAAAGAAAAAACAGGCTCTACTGTAGTTTATAACTGACAATGGGCACAACTTGCAACAATAACAGTTATGCATGTTATGTCTATACATTTCTGGGAGCAGGATTCTGGCATCCAGAGGACAAGTGTGTAAAAAATGCAAGATGAGAATTGCATTCAATGTCGCAAAGCCAAGGAAAAAAATCCAAATATTTTAGGAAGACTTTAAAAACACAATTTCTGAAAAGATTTGATTGCAAAGAACTACTAGGCAGAAGGCACCCATGATCGGAAAAGAGAGACACCTAGAGGTAATTTGAAGTCATAATTCTTTTTCAGCCTGCTCCAAGAGGATTAATGGATTTTCTTAGATATTTTTGTCAGGAAGCATTGGGGAGCAGGACAGGAGGGCGAAGAAGATGATTTGATTCACCCAACGCTCTTGAATCTAAACTGTTGTTTTCAAAGTAATTTCTTCCTTCTCTGGAATCATTCATCCAAGGCAGAAACCTAACATATTGGAAAACAACTAGGGCAGTCTTCAAACTTGGCCCTTTTATGACTTGTGGACTTCCAACTCCCAGAATTCCTCATGCCTGGCTGAGGAATTCTGGGAATTGCAGCCCACAAGTCATAAAAGGACCAGGTTTGAAGACCCCTGAACTAGGGATTAGATTTTAATTGATCAGATCAAGTTGTCCCAACTTTGGTACTCTCCAAGCCCGTGGATGTCAACTCCCAGAATTTTTAGCAATGGCCAAGGAATTCTAGGAGCTGAATCCCACCCATCAGATGGGATTTCCAGCCTCAATTTAATACATACTAATAAATGAAATGTATCAGCCAATCTAATAATTTCCAATTTTTTGTTTGGTACCATGTGTAGCACTACAGAAGTGTCTCCATTGCTCCCTTAAAATGGCTCTGGCTTCTGGGATTGTGGGTTTGCCATTCTATATTTCAAGGAATAGCTCCTCGTTGTAATACTGAAAACACAACCTTCCATTCCTGTCACTTCGTCCTCAGCCGAGTCTTATTCCAGAGGCTAATCCTTCTTGCCAGACACGGAACAGCTGAGCCTGCAAATCACCCAACCTGATTCATAGCTCAGCTATTTATAATAATATGTAATTTTCACAGCAACGCGCATGAAGAGGATTTGATTGCAAAAGCACAAGCCAATTCCGACTGGCAAAACAGTGGCCTACAGTAGAAAAATCTGTTGGGTCCCGGGCGCAGCGGCCTTTGGGACAGGGTGGTCTTAAAGCCTCCAATTCTTAGTAATAAATACATTTGCTCCTGCAGAGAAAACCCAAGAGAAAAAGCCCCCACTGCTTCAAAAATCTGGCCCCGACCCGTGCAAAGCTGCAGCTGTTCCAAATGGAGGGGTCAGAACGTGCAGCCAAGTGGAATAGAATAGAATAGAATAGAATAGAATGGAATGGAATGCAATGCAATGCAATGCAATGCAATGCAATGCAATGCAATGCAATGGAACTGGAACAGGAAGGGACCTTGGAGGTCTTCTAGTCCAGCCCCCTACTCAAGCAGGAGAACCTATGCCATCTCAGCCAAGTGACTGTCCAGTCTCTTCTTAGAAACCTTGAATGATGGAGCACCCACAACTTCTGGTGGCAAGCCGTTCCACTGGTTAATTGTCCTCCCTGTCAGGACGTTTCGCCTTAATTCCAGGTTGCTTCTCTCTTTGATCAGTTTGGCTCTTTTATGACTCGTGGACTTCAACTCCCAGAATTCCTGAGCCAGCCTGGCTCAGCTTGGAAACCTCTCCCTTTCCCCTCAGTGTGGCTGGCTCAGGAATTCTGGAAGTTGAAGTCCACGAGTCCTAAAAGAGCCGAGGTTCCCCACCCCTGCACTAGGACAACTTGGTCGGAAGAGCTGAGGTCCAAAGCAAGCCGTAAAAAGCAGCCAAGGTCGCTCAGGCCTGCATTACGCAGCCTTCGCTCCAGCGAAACCCGGAAGCGACCCGTCCCGAGGGCGAGGAGCACTCTCAACATGTCTACATCTACGGCGCGGTCACGCCCACAGCCGTAGAGCTCCCGCCCCCCCCCAAACTCCGAGCAGAGGGCGGCTTTGCGACAGCCGTAAGTGAGGGAGCTTGCGTCGCCGGCGGACCGACCGACGCTGGAAGCGGAGGAAGAAGCGGCCGCGGCGGAGGGGCTCTGCCCGTAAGGCGGGGGGGGAGCGCGAACGGGGGCGGCCGTTGGGGCGAGGGGCGGGGCCGGGCCTGAGCGGGGAGGGGCGGGGCGGGTGCCCGGACAGCCTGGGCCGGCCTACCTCGCAGGGTTGTTGTTGTAAGGAGGACTTGAACTCGTCTCGGCGTGGGCGGAGGGGGCCACCCGCTGGGCCCTCAGGGCGCTCCTTCTTCGCCTGGAGGGGCTGGGGGGGGAGAGTCGGGGGGCCGGGTGGAGGAGGGGGAGCTCGGGGGCCATTGGGGAGGGGGGGGTTAAGCGTGCGAGAGGAAGGAAGCCTGGCTCTGTAGCGCTGGGGGTGGGGGGGGGCTTTCTGGGGGGGGCGGAGGGTCCTCTCCCTGGCCTGGCTCTGGGCTGCGTTTGGCCAAATGGACTTCAGCCTCTGAGCTGCCCCAGAGAGGGGCTGCTGCTTAGGAGGAGCCCCCAGGCTTTTTTGGGGGTGTGGGGAGGGGGGAGAGTGGCCATAGGGCACCAGCCAGGCTCCTCCAAAGGGATCCATATTGACTCCCAGGACCCTCTGGGATGGATCGATGTTACCCTTACTTTTATTATTCAAGGTACTGTTCATCAAAGCCGCCTTTATGGAATTCTTTTCATAGCATAAAGATTTTGGGGGGGGGTTCAATCTGAAATAGGAAGGGGGGGAGCGAGCTGAAGCATTGGAGGACCCCGCTGGGCGCAAGCCAAAACGATACCCTGCGAGGCTGTGGCACGTAGGAGCGTTTTCCCGCAGGAAAGTCTTCTTTGAAAAGGGATCATCTTGGGACCCTGAGAAAGGAAAGAGGGGATATGTGTAATTTCTGGACTTTATGACTGGGATTGGTTCCCTCTTTGGCTGCCTGCTCCTTTTGACTGGAGCCAGAGGGGAGGAAGTTGGCCTCAAAGGAGACAGGATGACAGCTAAAGAAGGCGCACATTTTTAAAAGTGCTTTGTGAACACAGTTGCCCTGATTTGATTTGATTTGGAATCGGAAGGTGCAAAGGGGATAATTTGTGACTGATGGGTGTAAGGTGACCTGTCTGTCTGCACTCTGGAGGAAACACTTGAAAGCGCTTTCTCAGTCCTCCTCTCAGCTGTTTGCATGAATTTGGACAGACTTTCTATGATTGGAGGAGAGCCGGTTTGCTCTAGTGCAGGGGTCTTCCAACTTGGCCCTTTTATGACTTGTGGACTTCAACTCCCAGAATTCCTCAGCCAGCTTGCTGGCTGAGGAATTCTGGGAGTTGAAGTCCACAAGTCATAAAAGGGCCAAGTTGGAAGACCCCTGCTCTAGTGGTTAACGCACCAAGCTAGAAAGCCGGAGACTTGAGTACAAGTCCTGCCTTAACTGTGAAGTCAGCTGGAGGATTTGGGGCCAATTACTCTCTCTCAACCTAACCCATCTCACAGGGTTGTCGTAGGGAACATAGGAGAAGGAAGGTATGTTGGATACGTTCACCGCCTTACGTTATTTCTAAAAAATAGTAGCGGCAGGATACAAGTAAATAATCAACTGGGGGGGCTGGGAGGCAAATTAAATTGGGGTGTTTGAGCTGTGTCAAGAGGGAGCAGTTTCGCTTTGATTAAAGAGTCCTTTTCCCACTGGTACATTCATGGGAATTCTTAAGCTGAAATATTCGATTGCAATATTTTAAACAACTCTTCGTAGTGTTAAGATGAGCAAAAAATGGAACAAGCTCTGGACAGAGAAAATTGACAATAGAATGCCAGCATGTACCTCTTACTGGCATAGAATTTTAGAGATGATATATATGCCTTGGAGGCCACTGAATCTGTTCAAAATAGGCATAGCTCCATAGGTCATTCCTTTCACTGCTGAATTTTTTGCCGTTAAAAAGGTTGGAGTCTGCCTTCCTCTCTCTAACTTGGTCCATTATTGGTCCATGCTCTGTCTTCCGGGATGATGGAAACAAGATTCCTTCTTTTCATACATTTGGAATCAGCTGTCTTATATTACCCTTGTCTTCTCAAGGCTAAATGTTCCCAGTCTTTTCAGTCTCTCCTCATTGGCCTTTAAAAAAACAACAACAGTGGGGTTCCTGAGTTGCAGGAGGAGCTGAATCATGAGTGTGTTTCATGTTTCAAAGAGCTAGCTTGGAGTACATTCAAGATGACAAAAGCAGGATGCTGAAGATCACTTGTTGTGAGTACTTGTATCTCATAACAGGTAGAGCAATGTCATTATACATATTAAATACTCCTCCTTTTTAAGTAGAGGGAATAATGCCTTCAGTATGCATGCCAAATATATAGGGTTATTTAATTGATTATAATAGGTGCCCAGTGTGTAAAGCCAGAGAGCTGATCAGCCAGGCACATGTTCCAATGCAGCCGACACACATGATATAAAACTGGAGTGACCTGATAGAGTGGGATACAGTTTGATAGCTTATCTCTCCTTTCACATCCAGATTGGCCAGTTTGAGCTGCGAGATGAGGCCACAGCAGCCGCCTGTTGCCAGCAAAGTCTTCATCCAAAGGGACTACAGCAGTGGCACGAGGTGCCAGTTCCAGACCAAATTCCCCCCAGAGTTGGAAAACCGGGTGAGTAATCACTAGCTTTAAACTATAACGTGCTTAACAACCAAAGCTGGCTGGATCCATATAATGCACTGTACCTGGGGGTGGGATGTAGGCCAATTGCCCACTTTTCACAGTGACTTGCTTGGTTCTGTACCTCAGCTGAATTTCTGTGGAGATTCTTAGTCATTCAGGTGCTTTTTCAAGACACAACTTCTTTTTCTTCTGAAGAAGCTTCTTGGATGAAACGTCTTCAAAGAAAAACAAGAAAGTCCAGTGGCCTCTTTAAAAAGCTGCTGTCCCTTTTATAAACAAAGGCTAATGAGAGAGAGCCGTAATGATTGCCTGTTCTATACAACTAAAACCACTCATTGTGAAAACATTTTTCAGCTCCTGGAAAGCAACGAAAGTACTTTTTGAAAATCCCAGAGGAAAAGGATAGGTTTTCCCTTAAGTTAAAATTGCCATTTTGTGTCATTAACATTGCACTGCATAGAATCAAAAGGAATCTGGTAGAAACTTTTCTGATCAGCAAGTTTATTAAAAGGCTACAATGTATGTCTTTTAATAGAATTAGCTGGTTGGAGAAAGTCCTATCTATCTCCTGATTTGGGGCTATTATAGAGTAAAGGGACTGTCCTCCTATACAATCTTCACTACAAAATTGTATTTCTTCTGGATTTCACACTGCATCGGTTGTCTTGAGCTGTTTTACCATTCTCTCTTTGTTTTTGTTTTTTTAAATTTTACTTTTAACACCCAAGATGGTAAATTATATTTATAACGAAGCTAAAATGAACAGTGACAGAGATGCAGGAAAAGCCATCTTTTCCAGTGCAGAGATGGAGTATGGGAGATCTACTCCTCGACAGAGCAACAAATTAGAGTCCAGTGTTGTTGTTTTAACTGAAAAACCTATTACTGTACAGATTTTGAAAGAGCTGTCCTAAAAACCACCCAAACATCTCAGAGCCTTCTATTATTTCTCTTCTACAACAGGCGAGTATTTCAGTCCTATTGATTGAATTCTTTTGGTTACTCGTTTGATTGGATTTAGGTTTGTAGGACTGACATAAGCTTTGGATATGAAACCTCAAGCGCTGTATTCCTGCTGCCTTTGATGTCGGCTACTTCCTGTTAGGAAGTATGCCAAACAAGTTTGTCCTGGCTGCGGAGCACAAGCAATTAAAGACCCACACAGGAGTCAGATTTTTCTGTGGGAATCCTTTTATTACAGTGGTGACTAAAGCAAAAGCAGGGCTTCCTGTCTCAGCCTCTCTCCATTGGGCTTCATTCTTGGGGTTCAGTCAGGGGTCTTCAAACTTAGCCACTTTAAGACTTGTGGACTTCAACTCCCAGAATTCCTCAGCCAAGCACACAAAGCCACAATCAAATACAATATGTGTGAATGTGGAGCTGCTAAGACCACGTTTAACTAATCTAATTAAGAACCTCTGGGTTTGAATACTTGTACTTTGGAGATAGCATTTACAACGTCTCTGGAAGAAAGTCAAAATTTATGATGTTATAAGTAATAAGGAATCTGACAGCCAAATTGTATATTTGCTAAGAAGTATACTTTATTGCATTGAATGAGCCTCCTAATCGGTAATAGAGGCAGAATAAAAAAATTGAATTAATAAAGAAATAAAATGAATATTCTAGGATTGTAGCACCTCTCAGCTTCCAAGTGAAAGAAATGAAGAAAAAAAAACATAAAATCCAGTCATGATAATGTCATCTTTAATGGTTTGAGAATAATGAACAAGTCATTGCTATGTTCCAGAATTACTGTTCTTAGTATGTCGGTCAAGCTTCTCTCTGCCGCCGAGAATTTTCTGGTATTTTTGTTCTCAAATGCTCTAATTTACTGGCTACTTATGCTGGGTGGATATATCAGTGTTGAAAGCAAAAGCAAATAATATTTCTCCTTGTGATCTTTCGATCAGCAGCTCCACCAAGGAAAAACATACTGTTTTCATGGTAGCAGCTGACTGCTTTCTTTTGTGAATTGAGTTATGCCAGGAACAGCTTTGAAGAATATCTTGAAAGGCTTTTCTGAAGGAAGTTGCATTCTTTCTGTGACTCTTTTAAAACTTGTAATTGTTTCCTGAGTCTCAGTTTTGCAGACGAGGCTCCTGACGTGGAACTCTTCATCCAAGGAGTCAAGTTCTATTTCCTGGGGATCTGAGCCATTGAATTCCATATGGTTTTCATCTAAATACGTTGAAGGTTGTTTCTGTTCAAGAAACTAGATTTTTGTAACTGCCTGAAACATTTCATTTCTGTTTCTAAATGAGATCCTTTGTTCAGATTGACAGGCAGCAATTTGAAGAAACTGTACGGACCCTGAATAATCTTTACGCCGAAGCGGAGAAACTCGGGAGCCAGTCCTATCTGGAAGGGTGCTTGGCTTGCTTGACTGCCTACACTATATTTCTGTGCATGGAGACCCATTATGAGAAGGTCAGCTGACTTCCTTTCCCTAAAAAGAAAAAAGGGGGGGGGGCATATGTACACACTGGAGGTTTGATGGCAGGAAGAAAAAAAAAAACCACAGAAGGAATAGCATTTAATCTCTTGCAATAAAATATCGGAAAGGCATCTTTGAGGCATGTTAAGCCTCACTTATTAAAACCCGAACAGGATGTGATTTACCGCTTCCATTCTGTGTTCAAGAATGTAATTTTCCATTCTGGCTTTCTGACAGCGGTTACAGGAGATGCATTTAGCCTAATGTTGCTAAGTATTAGGACTCACTCTCCTGCATCTGCTCCCCTATGATAGAGCTGTATCACCTGATGGACTATTTTGGTATAAAACAAAGTGTCTGGATACGTAAAAAATTAACTGCATCAAGAGGAAGGCTAGTTTAGCACAGATGCTTTCTGTCCGTTTTGTTTTCTTTAGATAGGAAAATGTTCCATTATGTGTGTTTTTTGCCTTCCAGACTTTGAGAGGGGGGCGTTATTTGTTTAATTCTTATGCTTACATGCCACAATATTAAAGAGAGAGAGAGAGAGACTTGTAATTTATACTACGAGAACATAAAAACCTTAGAAAGTAATGGAATTATAAAAGCTAATAAAAACACAAACAACTACTGTATAAAAGTGGTAAGCAAATGGAATATGTAAACGGGCGGGGCCAGGTGAGATCACAGTGAAATCTGATTCCTGCAGTTTGCTAAGCAATGTTATCGTTTATTTGATCCAGACTTAGCGTATTGTGTGAACCTAATCGTTCTAGTTTATAAATCATGCTTTATGGCTTCATACACTGTTTTCAGCCAGTTGTGAGTGATTCAAAAGAAGGTTAATATAGCAGAATGGAGCATCCACAACTTCTGAAGGCAACAGCATTCCACTGATTAATTGTTCTCGCTGTCAGGAAATTTCTTCTTGGCTCTAGGTTGGTTCTCTCTTTGAGTTGTACTTCAATAAATGGGGAAAGGTTGTTTTAAAGCACTGACAGTTGGCTCTTCCGACTCCTTTTTCACATTGTCTTTGTTTCTTAAAAGTGTATCTTGCCTTCCTTTAAAGAACTCATAGCTGAATACCCAGAGAGCCTTCCTTTTATGCTTCTAACAGCCTTATGAAATAGGTAGAATGGAGAGAAGCAACTCTGGTTTAAAATTACCCAATGAATTCCATGGTTGAGTGGGACTTGAACCTGTCTCCCCCTAGGTATCTGATCTTTCCCCAGAAGTTTAGTTTTCATCTTGCCCCTTGTCCTGTAATAGCCTTGCCTTATATTTCATGCCTGCATCCTACGCAGGATCCTTTTGAGAACAGCATGGAGCCATGAAAGCTGCCTTTAGCTGCCTCAAGCAAGGTATCCTCCTCCTATTTCCCTTAGGGTTTATTGCCATAAATTCAGCCATGGAAAATAAGTCTCCTTTCAGTGCTTCCATTTCACACTCCTATTGCCTCTACCAGCTAGTTGGCTTTCCTACCATTGATCACATTTCAGGGTGGCCTTCCTGAAAAAAAAAAAAAATATGAATGGCATTTTTTCCATCCACCACTTTCCTGGCATCAAAAGCCCTGTTTTTGGCCAGATAATGTTCTTCAGAAATTGTTTAAAAAGTCATATTTTCTCAGAAGTCAGCATGACATGGTTCCCTGGCTCTGCAGAGAGACTCGGTTTCCTGCTAATTGCTTCCGTTCCTGATTTTATATCATTGGGATTTTGTGCCAGTCTGTGGTTACTCTTGAGGACTCTCTGCCGAGATTGCTTTTGTGGTATTCTCTTTTTGAAAAGGGACACTGAACACATTTAGTTCCAGCCAAGTTGGCTTTCAAAATCGGCCTTTTCGGAACTTGGGGCAAAATACTTTCCAGGCACCACACTTCTGTCTAATGCTAATCTCTAGAATGAATAGAACCTTTTACAAATATTTTAAGTGGTACATGTTGTGGATAGTCCATTGCGATCCAGGCAACCTACATTCCTGTGTAAAACAACTTTTAAATTTTCCACTGAGGTTGGCATCAAGGATATATCTGCTGTAGTAGTTGCTGGGAGCTGTCTGAAGAGAGGAATATTTTTATGTGCGTGCCCAGTTGTTTACGCACAACATCCTTGTTGCAGGGAGAGATCAGAGCAGTTATGGGAATAGCTTGCAGGTATTCTCTGTGTTAGGAAGCTAAACAAACTCAGGCCCAGTTAATACTTGGATGGGAGACTACTGGGGTGTAGGCTAGAGTAGGAAAACAAATATGACAGAATGGCAAGTGATTTACTATTAGGAAAATTTTAGGGTTTTTTTTCAAAGATGAAGTCACCATGAGTTGACTTTGATGGTAGAAGACTAATGTTTTTTTAGTGGCTATAAACCATTGTTGAGTGTAGTACTGGTGTTCTGAGCTACTTTATACTTGGGTTGAATGTGCACAATATGTGCAAATATTTTGAGCTAATGTGTGGTGTACTCCAGTTTGTGGTTCAGTGTGAACACAACCAATGCATTGAGTTTATGGCTCAGTCTTATGCAAACTCAGACAGTTGTGTCAGTTCGTTAAATCATGAGTGGTTGGTTGGTTGGTTGGTTGGTTGGTTGGTTGGTTAGCTGGATAAAACACGAGCTTGTCCTGTGATAAGAAAGCAATTGCTTTCTTATTCCATGAGAAGGATATTAAATGATATGCTTTGGCTCATGAATGACCACCTGGCGAGTCGAGTATTAGAATTTTTATTTGGTATGTGTTTATATTTAATCACAAAACAGAGCTCCTATAGCAATAACAGTTCTGTGAGGTTCAGTTGGGCTAAGAGAAAATGATTGGCTTGAATCTCCCTTGTCGTCAGGCCTTTATCACTTAAAAGTATTACCAAGAGTTTGTAACAACAGGAATTGAAACGAGCCTCTGTCTTTTTATTCCAGGTTCTGAAGAAAATTGCCAAGTACATTCAGGAGCAGAACGAGAAGATCTATGCTCCACAAGGCCTCCTCTTGACTGACCCCATTGAGAGGGGACTAAGAGTTGTATCTTTTTTTCAGGGGGTTCCTAAACTTTTGCAGCTCCTGGATTGTCTCTCTTTGTCCATCCCTTTGTGCACCCAAAAAAACCACACTGTGGCTCTTTAAAAAGAAATGATGGAGCCGGGTGAAAACGTGGATGGCTTTCGTATTCCAGGACTTATGCGGCGAAGGTAGCTTTTATTTATCTCAGTTCTGCTCCTTAATTCTATAGCAGACGGACATTTATGTCTTAAATCCCAAATAATGGGTCTGTCGTTTAAGGTGCCGTGATTGGATTCTGGTTAGCCCAGGGGTAGGCAGCCTTGGCTTTTTTATGACTCGTGGACTTCAACTCCCAGAATTCCTGAGCCAGCCTGGCTCAGCTTGGAAACCTCTCCCTTTCCCCTCAGCGTGGCTGGCTCAGGAATTCTGGGAGTTGAAGTCCACGAGCCCTAAAAGAGCCAAGGTTGCCTACCCCTGGGTTAGCCTATGGACTTTTAGAAGAAATGGCTTTCCATGTCTCTGAATATTCGAGAATGCTGCAGGGAAGGGTGTCTTTTTGCTTCTTGGGACAATTTTGTCATCAGAAAGAGAACTTGCACACGATGAAATGCGGCCTCGAGTTTTCTAGGCTTTTCTGCTTGTGAAGAATAAAAGCTAGATGTGTCCCGGCTTCATTATTTTCAGGGTTCCAGATGATTGCCTCAACAGATGGTTGCCTTACAATCAGCTGCTAAGGGAATGTCTGCTGTAAGAAATCTCTCGCCACTGGCCATATCCCTAGAATTGAACTTTAGCTTCCAGAATCCCTGGTCCCTGCGTCGACTCTGGAAGTTAGAAGTCCAACACTTTTGAAGCACGTAAAGTTGAAAACCTAAAGTAAACTCTGTTATCTCCCCCGTTTTTTATCTCTGTGACTTGCCCTGCAGAATATTTTCTTAACAGATCTGCTGTACAGATTGAAATTACCATCTATGAAGACAGAAGTGTGAGCAGTGGAAGATAAACCTTTGATATCAAAGGTAAACACGAATATTTTAACTGTTGATCCTGAAACTTGCTTCATCAAAACCATCCTATCCCAAACGCTACTGATCTGACCACTCTGTTAACGCTTGAAGAAAAAACACCCCTTCACAGTGTCCTAAGTACATTAGAATATAACATATACATCCCTAATAACTGATAAAATCTAGAAATTTCAACTCAAAACCTCAAAGGTCAATACAATAATGTACAACGGTGTCAAATTGATTCACGATTGAAATTAATGAGTGATAGTTTAGCAGGCAATGGTGCACCTTTATTTCAAAACACCCAGTGAAAGAGGGCTTTTATTTGCTTCTAACCACATACATACATTTTTATGTTGCTTTTTAGTATGCAATTGCATGAGGCTTGTCTCAGTTGGCAACTCCATTATAGGAAAAACATCTTGGGCTTTGAAGAGCCATTAATGCTAATATGCTTGAGCAGTGCTGATCCTTAGTGGGCGCTGAATGAATTATTGCTGTTTTTACTTGTTATTTGATCCAAAATTCCTTCCCCCCCCCATCTTGAAAATGTGGGGCTTGTAAATTAGATTAATAAATTATATTACGTCTAGATAGTTCTTAAATTTGCCAACTTATACTTCGTAGACCTGGCCATGTTGAATTCTTTCAAACGCAGACTGGCTGAGGAAGTGGGGACTGTGGGATTTGGACTGCAAACTTGCAAATTAAAATAACAGGCATGCTCTTGTGAAATGGCAGGTTGGGGGGTACGTATCCCTATTTGAACTGTCTCGGGCATTGCAAGGACGCTTGGCTTTTGAAAATACGGGTTAAAGCAAACTTTGGTTCTTTGCTAAGAAATTGCAAAGAACCACTGGAAACCTATCGTAGCTGGTAAGAAGTTTCATAATGTCTCGGTGTGCCAAAACTCAAAAAAGCAATCGATTTCCAAGACCACCGTGTTTTGGTTTTAAGTCATTTGTTTATTATGGCTAAAATGACCTGAATAGAACAAAATATCGCCACAATGGCAGTTTTAGGTAGACGAGAAGCCAGTTCATTCTGGAGTGAAGTGGCATAAAAGTCTTAGTAATTAATTAGTAACTAATGATTTTCTTAATTTAGGACAGAGGTCTCCACCATTGGCAACTTTAAGACTTGTGGACTTCAACTTGGCTGGCTGAGGAATTCTGGGTGTTGAGGTCCACAAGTCTTAAGGTTGCCAAGTTTGGGAACCTGATTTAGAAAGTCTTTTTTAAGAGCGTAATTGCATCATTGCATGGAAGATTATAAAAAAAACCAGGATAAACAGCATTAGGAATGGTATATATTGATCTTACATGGTAGGCTATCAGCTACTGATGCTTTAATTAACTCAACACCTATGTTGTATTTTGTTATGTATGAATATTGGCACACTCCTATGGTTGAAGAGGGCCCATTTAAAGATGTTGTCCGGCTGATGTTTTTTACAGTCCAACTCTTGGTGGCTGAACTAGCACAAGCCTCTGCCCTTCCTATTGGAAGCCATCCTATTTTCCATCTACTGCGCTGGTTGAAGATTTGTCAGTGTGTTTTAGGCCACTAATAACCTGGAAATTCCAGAATGATAATGGGCTATTGCTTCCACTCCAGTAGTAGATATCCCTAAAGTTTGCTACGCTACAATTCTGTGAACCACTAACAAGTGTGGGGCAGTAGAAGAGGAGAGAAGATGTTATTCTGCCATTAGCTTTTTCTGATTGCTTTCTCTCCAAACAAGCGCCTAAAGATAGAAGCTTTGAAGAAGACTTTTCACATTTTATGTTGCCTTTTAAATCTTGGCTTTCTTAATTACTGTCTTTTCATTTTCTCCTGGCAGAGACAATTTACCTGGGGCAATATACCTTATAAAATAAATCTTTGAGGAAAAGTATCACTTTAGGCGTCAGGGTTAGCTTTTAATGCAGGGCTCTTCAAACTCGGCCCTTTTATGACTCATGGACTCCAACTCTCAGAATTCCTCAGCCAGCATGGCTGGCTGAGGAATTCTGGGAATTGAAGTCCACAGGTCTTAAATTTGCCAAGGTTGGGCATCCCTGCCCTAAATCATCCATTTGTTCCCAAAAAGATAAACAGGAAAAAGTGACAACATTGGTAGCAACGTGATAAATGCTCACTCCCTCTTTTCTCAGAGAATCCCGTGTGAGGGCACTCAAAACTTCAAATCACTCTTTGTTGCTTTTTATTCCATTTAACAAGGGGCAAAGCTGCATTACTGCCTTGTATTATTACTACTACCTTCCAACAGTCCCAAAAGGATGACGTAAAGTCCTGAAAGCAGCCATGTTGTGCTTTAACTTTTGTTAATTAAGCTTTGTTTTCTCTCCAGGGACCAGCGAAGCTCGTTTCCTTTCTTCTGTCCTAACACCTTCCCCTCTGCTTCCCTGAACTCCACAGTGCCATTTACACAAGGACTCACTTTTCAGACCCTCGTTCTTTCGTGGGGGAACCCCAGCCCAGCTGGGCAGCCTCTGTCTTGCTTTGTTGGGCCTGAAGCTGCAGCGTTCCCTCAGGCAGGAGGCCAACCGGGGATGACCTCAAGGCGGTGGGACTCTCTCGGTGGACTTTGGGCTTCTATCGGCTTCCGGAAAAAGAAAGCAACACTGTGTGGCGTTTTGGAAAATGAGGCCTATCCTTACGAAGTACAACCTGCTGATTGGTGAAAAAGGGACCCAGGCCCCCATCTTCCCGACTGACTCCATTAAGAAACCGCAAAGCGTTTTTATTTTTTACTGCTGACGTGTTTTGGAGCCGCCTGTTCTCAATGTACAGTTCACGAGAAGAATCTGTGAGCCGTGTGTTAAAACATGAGGAAAACGCAGCAGCCCCAAATATGTCGTGTTAGCAGAAGTGTCACTTCTCGGCTCCTCTCCACCCTTAAATGTTGAATCTGTAAATGTAGGTAATGAATATGGCTTTGGAGTTTTTTATAGATGTTTTAGTTTAGGGCAGGCCGGTTTAGGGCCAGTTAGAAATGGTGTTCAGTCCGCCAGCTTTTTCCTTTCACAGATGTCGTCTCTGCAGTACTTCTACTTGTGCTCGACATTCCAGCGTGATGCTTGCAAAAATATCTGGAACATTTTACACCCCCCCCCCCGTCTCAAAAAAATCCAATATCCTTTGTTCCATTCCCTCTTCTCTGTCCAGTGTGGGTTTTACTCCGTGTATCTCTTTGACTCTAAAACGGCAAAGTAATTCTCTGTGGAGGTTGCTATCTCTCGTGACAAGGTATTAAGGAATTTGCCAAACAAGACCAGTTTTAAAATTGGTGGCACAGGTGGGTTTTTTTGTCTTTGAGCAATAGGAGAGGCGCCAAATAGTGGATCAAGGTTTTCAGGTGTATAATTCTTAAATCCCGTTCCTTCATGGTTTTCTTTATCCTGTCTAAAAGTTTAATATTTGAAATATATAGATACTTGTGAGTTGTTTTTTCTAATCTGTAACAGTATTTTGCCTTTTGCACCCGTTACAATTGACTTTGGGAAATAATGGCTTAGTAACCTTTTTTCTTAAATAAATTGTCATTTGCTAGCACTGGTGTAAAACACAGGCCGTTTTTGTTTTGTAACAGTGAAACGGGCGGTAAGGTTAAAGGTCTTTAATTCTGATAGTAAAGCAAAGCAGGATTTACGCTAGTCATCTGAAGATGGCAGTGCACAGTTATCATTGCGCAATAACTCTTAAATGACATCTTGAGCATTAGTATTTTAATGACAGCCTTAGTTACACACAAATAGGATGATACATTTCATGTCATACTATCTTGTACAAATAATTGGCACACACACAACACCCTATCTTGTGGAAAGTTGTTCCACATGGGCAGGAGGGAGGAGAGAAAGTATGGCTTTTTTTAGATTAGACACACAAAGAATTTGTCTGGGATGAAGAAGATCTCGGGGATACATGAAAAATAGAGTAATAATCATCATAACAGTGATACCAATAAGTTCATTATGTGTTCATGATTCATATGTGAGAACCCAAGGACTTCTCCCGTTACTTTAAGACAGGGGTCTTCCAACTTGGCCTTTTGATAACTTGTGGACTTCAACTCCCAGAATCCCTCAGCCAGGCACGCTGGCTGAGGGATTCTGGGAGTTGAAGTCCACAAGTCATCAAAAGGCCAAGTTGGAAAACCCCTGGTTATCTGATTAGATTGATACGGTATCTCAAGTTCAAGGAAGAGCCAGGGACCTTACAGAGAGTTACAATAAGGCTGGGTTGGGATTGCTGCTGCTTGACTACGGGGCTGGACTAGAAGACCTCCAAAGTCCCCTCCAACTCCGTTATTTCGCTTCGTAGATCACAACCACGTCTCGCAGGACATCCAAGCTGGGCTCCCGCAGCTGCCTTGCGGGCGAGACACACCGGCAAAACGCTAAAGGCCTCAATTCGCTCGACGGGAGCCTCTCCCCGCCCTTCCCACGTTACGAAGTCGAGCGCGTGTCCCGCCGACGGTCCCTTTAAGGAAAAGGGGCGGGGCCAAGGGGATTTCCCCGCCGGGTGGGGGCCAGGGGATCCCGCCTCTTTGAGCGCGCTGGAGGCTTTGACGTCAGCGAGCGGCGGCGGGAAACGCGGGAGCCTCGGCGCGCCCGTGGGAATGGCGGAGCCGGAGTCGGATGCGGGCAGCGACGAGGTGGTGCTCACGCCGGCCCAGCTGATCTGCAGCTTGGAGGAGGTGAGCCCCCCCCCCATGGGTCTTCGCGACCCCCTCCGTTCGGAACGAACGAGCGGGGGCCTTTTCAGACGACGAGCCCCGGGGTCCGTTCGGCGCGGCTGGGGTTTCAACCCGACTCGTTTCCCGCGAAGGCGGCCGGCTGAGTGCAAGACGCGGGGGCGGGAAAGAGGGAGACCTGGCCAGTTGTGTGAAGTCGAAAAAAAAAAAATTGGATTAAATCTGTAAGCCGTGTGAATGCAAGCTGGCACGTCAGTGGTCTGGGCTAAGCTTGGATGTGCGGTTTCCGTTTACAAGCGGTGGTTCAAGAAGCCGCGTTAACGATAATAATTTTTATTTTACAGTCACAGGCCAAAATGCAAAAGAAGCCGCGTTTTGGATGGAGCTCCCAATGTTTCCCCACCTTTGTTCTTTCTGGTTTTTAGGGGGGGGGGAAGTGCGCAGAGAACTTCCGCCTTGGGATAAGCTGAAGGAGGCAGTGCGAAACGGCGGAGAAGCAGCGGTTCCCAGCTGCCCCCGTTCCCAGTCTGGGGCTCTCTAGAATAGTTAGACCAGGGGTAGGCAACCTTGGCTCTTTTATGACTCGTGGACTTCAATTCCCAGAATTCCTGAGCCAGCTTTCCTGAGGACCAGGAAAATGTTTTCAGACCGTAACCATGATACCCATTTTCTGCTGTTATTCTCAGGCTTGGATGAATGAGAAATTTGCCCCTGAGCTGCTAGAAAGCAAAACAGAAATTGTTGATTGTGTCATGGAGCAGCTTGAACACATGGTAAGGCATCAGAAGAGGTAAACACAACACCACTGATCTTGGTTCGGGAGGGCGTTCAGGGGCCACTCCTGTTCCAGGCCAATAACCCTCTTTTGGAAAAAATTCTCTGTAAGGGTAATGTCACACCACTACAGTGCAACCTCTGCTCTTTTGGTTCTTGTATTGTCACACAATGGAGGTCAATCTTGCATCACATTGGAGTGATGGTGCTTTTGGCATTCACTTCTGTTGCAGAGCTTTGGTATGCCTTGACAGGCCGTCTTGCCTCACAGCACTGAAAATCAGGAACTTCAAATATCTCCTTTTTTTCAGTTGGGTCTGAACTCTTGACTTTGCTACTCTTGTGATTAGCTGCTACTCCTGTTTGCTGACCTAATGTAGGCCGAAGGAGTTGCAAGTGATCAAGGGGGTAGGGTGGGTTAAGAGTAGGATGAAAGTTGCGTATCTTTTAGTGAGTACAGATAGTCCTTGACTTACAACCATTCATTTAATGGTCTTTCCAAGCTACAACAGTACTGAAAAAAGTGGCTTATGACTGCTTTTCACACAACTGTTGTGGCAGCCACAGGGACTGGTGATCAAAATCCAAATGCTTGGCAACTGGTTCATATTTATAGTGACTGCAATGTCCTGGGATGATGTGATCACCCCTTGCAAAGTCAGTGAGGAAGACAGAGTCGCTAACTTAACAACTGCAATGATTTACTGCAGGAAAAGGTCATCAAATGGGAAAAACTCAAGAACAACAATTTGGGGCTCAATTGTCATAAGTTGGGGACTACTTGTAGTAAATTTGTTTCAAAGGGAGCAAATCCAATCCTTTTCAAAGGTCTTGGTAATAAAATTTGAGAATCCCTGGTCTATTGAAAAACTGCATGGTTTTTTTTTTATTGTTGTTATTTGTTCCGTAGGAAGAGAATTTGAAACGAGCCAAACAAGGGGACTTAAAAATTAGTATTCATCGCATGGAAGTGGAAAGAATCCGTTATGTTCTTAGCAGTTACTTGCGCTGCCGACTTCGCAAGGTAATGACCCCACCAGGGCTTAATTAAACACCCCAGGGAACTGGTGAATAGCAGAAGCATTTAGAATTGCTCTTGGCCTGTTTTTAAGGTAGCAGCCAAATGTTCGTTGTTTCTTTCCTAGCATTTCAGTTCCTATTAAACATCTCAGGAGAGTTGCATCAATACAACTGGTGGATTTCATTTTGCAGGTTGCTAAATTGTCTAGTAATAATTAATGATTTTTTTTTCAAAGGAATTTGACCTGGACTAGATTCACGCAACAAACTGAGTTGAAGTAATCCAAGTCCTAACATTTGTTGTGCCAGTGTACAAAGCCAGGATAGGGTTAATTTGGTCACAATAAACTAGGTGAATGCAGGCTACTGTATTGCCTAAACCAGCTGGTTTAGGCAAGTGAACCCAACTCTAGTCTGGGAGGCCAAAAGAGATGGATCAATGTAGGAAGTCCAAATGGGCCACAGTTGGGGCTGTCTAATCTTGGCAAGTTGTGAACTTCAACTCCCAGAATCCCCTAGCCAGCATAAGACCAGCCCCTTAAACTACTATGCCAAATTGACTCTCAATTCAATTCTTGGTTGTGGCTGTTTCCTATGATTGTTCCTTGTACTAACTACCTATTCAGGGATAGCCTTGCAAATGGTAGACTCCTTGAACCCAAAGACTTGGAGCAAAGGGACATTAGCCAAAGAAATCAATAATGACAGAGGAACAAGAGATGCAGAAGTGACTGTCTATTCTTACCTTTGTTGTTTATTTCCTCCGAAAGATTGAGAAATATTTCCCCCATGTCCTAGAGAAGGAAAAGACTCGGGCAGAAGGAGAACCATCCATCCTGTCCCCAGAAGAGTTTGCCTTTGCCAAAGAGTGAGTAAAGAGTTGGGGGGGGGGGAAGCGAGAGAGACCAAATATGTGTTCTACGTGCGTGCCTCGGTATGCTGGACCCCAATTAGGCAACCAAGACAAGGAAGGCCATTTAATTTATTTATTTGAAATGTTTCAATTAAAAAGGATTCCCTTTAGAGCAGGGGTCCCCAATCCCCGGTCCGTGGACCGGTACTGGGCTGCGTCATGCCAACAACTGGTCCGCACAAACAAGGAAAGCCCCATCCGCGGGATGCAGGCAGCACACAAAACCACACCCCCTCCAGTCCACGGAAAAACCTCTCCACGGAACCGGTCCCTGGCGCCCAAAAGACTGGGGACCTCTGCTTTAGAGCAAGGCCCCTGGAGCAAAGGCTTACATTTACTTTTATAGTTTGTACAACAAAGAAACTTCAAAGTAGAAGTTGATAGTTTTAGGAAAAATCATTCTACGTGGCCCTCAGGGCAGGTTGGGGAGGGGAATGGTAGTTAGGGCACAGAGGAGCAAACACTTGCCTCCAGTATTCTGTTTCTTTAATTGTAATTGCATTTTGTCAGTCTGCATAGCTAAGTGAAATAGGAAGCCTCATCCTTCCCTTTTTTTTTTTTTTTTTTTTTTACAATGAAACAATCTCTTCTTTTCAGGTACATGGCAAACACAGAGAATCATCTCAAGAACATTGCACTGAGACATATGCCTCCAAACCTTCAGAAAGTTGAGTTCCTCAAAGCCGGTAAGGAAGAAGGGCAGTTTACCTCCAGTCAGGGCCCACCCCTTAGGTCCATGAGCAGCTAGAGAGCTATAGATGACAACCCTGAAAGAGATGTGGGGGCTGGACCTTTGGGCCAAACACGGGGAGAAGCAGGCCTTGGAAAACATTCTCTCTGCTGCTGATAATAACAATATGCCTGCACAGAAGTGATGGCTGAAGAAATGTTGCTTAGCAGACTTTAGTGTTGTCATATATTATGGTATGAGATCTTTCTAAATGCTGCTGAGGAGAACTTTTTCTTAATCCTCTCTGACCTTTCTTGGCAGTTCCCAAGCCCAACCTGGATGCCTTCGTCTTCTTGAGAGTGAAGGAGAGACAGGAAAATATAATGGTGGATCCGGAGCATGATGAGCAGAGGTTGGAAATTCTGTTGGCAACAAAGAGAAAAGATAATAGCTAGAAAATGGCATCAGCTGGGCATGCTGGATTTTCGATTGGTTCAAGACACCAGAACGGTTTTTCTCTCCCCCCCTCTTTCCTCTTAGCCCTCACATATTTGGTAGTCCTGAAAGATGCTCGTCTGATTGTCCCATTTTTGGTCCAAGTTATATGTTCCAATGCATATTCAAGCAAAGGGATCTCATGAATGAAGGCAGTTATAAAAAAAGGATCTCAGTCTTTCATTATGATGTTTGGTGCAGATGGATTCAGTCTTACTGTTTGCAAAAGGTCAGTCAGCCAGAGGAAAGATCTGAGTAGCCTCTGACTCAACTTTGATCCACGGAAGACCTCTCCCCAAAGTTTAGACGGGGCTCTTGGAACTGCTGCAAGATTTTTCCTTCCACTTTTAATAAGAGAGGGGGAATATTAAGGATGTGAAAAGGAGTAGGATAAAATCATTATTGTTTTTATTTTATTAAATTTCATGTCACTGGATAGCACACACAGTTCAAATAAGATTAAAGCAGACCTGTTGAAAGCATTAAAATAAGTTAAAAACTGTAAACAAATAGACTCATTCAAAATCCTACTTACAATTTAGCCATTTGGGGGCTCCTTATTTTCATGGGATCCCCAAGTTTGCTGACAGGGTTTTCTGGCAAATCAATAGCATTGAGGCCAATCTTACTGGGGGGGGGGGGAATGATCTTCCAAAGGGCAGCTACAATGGCAGAAAAGGTTCGCCTCCTGTTAACAATAGTGCTGGATTTAATTTCATTTGAAACGCATTAAAACTACATTTATAACATTGAGCTTTTCTTATAGTTCTGCCCTTGAACAGTTCTCGCTTCCAAAAGGCTGCCCGGCATAAAAAAAGGAGGAAAAACAGAAACCCTAAATTAATTTTTTGTGTGTTAAAGTTACTTTTTCTCCATGAGCTTAGATAGGCTTATTTAACCCCCAAAAGATCCCAGGGAGATCATTGCTGTTCCCCCCGCCCCCAATCAACTCTATAGGGCTATTGTAGCAGGAAGAAAGAATGGAAAGAAAGAACATTCTGTATTATTTGTAGAAACTGGAAGAAAGCTGAGAAATAAGTCGAACGAATAAGTGTGTATAGAATGACAAGAACAGTCTACTTTGATTGTCCTTTTGTCTCTTTTCAGAGACTACGTGATCGACTTGGATGAAAACTCCCAACATTTGATCCGCTACAAGACAATTGCTCCCTTGGTGGCCTCTGGGGCAGTTCAGCTCATTTAGATCAGGTGGATTCACCCAGGCCTTTTTGCCCAGATACCAATCGTAAGACCGATCTCTGTGCCTGGGGAGCCCATGCTTGACGATCCCTCGTGTCTAACCTTGGAAATTCAATTCAACCGGTTTGATTCCAGCACCAGATGCCCGAATGACTGTTAGTGCTGCTGAAACAATGGTGTACAATCCCATCCCTGGAAAATGGGGTCCTATCCACACCAAAGAAGGGGAGGGTGCCGGCCTTGGAGAAAAGATCTGGGAAGTGGAATGCTGTAGTTCAGCAACTGGGCTGCTCAAAGGGCATATCATTTACCTATCCAGCAGGTGGCAGTAGGCCTGTTCTGGAAAGGCCAGGTTCAAGCAATGGAATGAAAATATGTCATTGTACAGCAAAGAGTGGGCAATTTTATTGTCTGGGAGAACATTTTTTGCCAGTCATCCAGAGCTGCAAGGCATGGCAGGAAGGTCACCGGAGAGGCCAGTCTGAAGCTGTTGAGTTTTTTTTTTTTTAATTTGGGGAAGGAGGGTTTGAGGGAAAGAGGCGTGTCTTACCCTGTAGCTCCTTAAAAAATGTATTTTTAGTGCTTTCATTGCAGCATTAAAGAAAATCGACAGGAAGCATCAGGGACCTTGGTGACAAAATTGCAGATGAATGCTAAGTTATGCACAATTGCATCACACACTACACTCCCCCAGTCTCTTGGCAGATATGTCAGACTGCAGTTTCCCCCATCTTCCACAAGTCCATTGTGTTGTACCCAGAGAATGTACGAGAGGGAGGCAGGTCAGGGGATGATGGGGTTGCTGAAATGTTCATGGAGAAATTGGGAAAAAATAATTTAACACCAACCTAAGCACCAGGCTCAGAAAAGCAGCTGTAAGAAATGCATGAATGAACTGAGCAGAAACATCTATTCAAGAGGTTTTAACATGCAGTACTTTCCTATTTGGGTAATGTGGCTGTGTATAACTTTTGGATGTGACTCAGAAACAATGGGAGTGAATCTACAAATAGCATTATCTCCCAGTTCAAAACTGCTGGTGGGAGTCAATGCAAGACTTAAATGGCATAAATTACAGTTTGAAGATGCCTTGGGTTTGCTTCCGTTAAACTCAAGTGATCATATTGTTCTACATCAGTGGTTCTCAACCTTTCTAATGCCGTGACCCCATAATGCAGTTCCCCATGTTGTGGTGACCCCCAACCACTTATACATCACTGGGTGCCAGGGGTGTGGCCAAAGAAAAGGGGAAAAATGGTGGACAGCCTTGTTTGGCGACCCCCGTGAAATGGTCGTTCGACCCCAAATGGGGTCCCAACCCACAGGTTGAGAACCACTGTTCTACATAGTTGACCTTGAGATTCCAAAATTCAAAGAAGACAGTGTTGTGCTGAAATATTTCATGGGCCAGAATTTCATATCGGTTCCATTAATTAGGCCTATAGAATAAGTAGTGTAATGTAATGAAAAATAAATAGTGCCCTCCGTGGCTGAATGAGGTATTGTATACTTTGGATGAAATAGGCAATATAATGGAATTAATAGGACATAATACCATTTTGTGGCCTGGATATTTTCTTTTTTGTACTGTTGAGTCGTTGCCTTCTGGACTAGTGCCTCGTTTCCTTCCAAGTGTCCTGGTTTCCAGCCTGGTGCTTTAACCACTACATCAAATCTTTCTTTAGCAAAAACTGGACCATGTACTACTACTGATACATTATACTACTTCTGTAGGCCAATGTATTTAATATATACTGCTCATTAAAGTGTCATGTACTCGGGAAAATAGGGCAAAGTACTGAATATCCAAATATTGCCCTTTGGTGCTTCCCTGATGAATGGTAAAAATATGTCAATATAAGTATAACAAATAATAATTCCCTGCTGTTTACAGTTTAAATTTTTTGGATCTGTTAACTACCTATTTCCGGCTCTTTGAAATAAAGGTCCTTGTCGTTTTTGGTAAGGTACCCTGTGGTATATAGTGGAAGCAGCAATACAGGAAGCTGTTTAAATTATCTGCTCAAGCAGCTTTCGATATAGCTTGTTCATTTCTTCATCCCTATCGGTTATTCATTAAATAAACGGCTCTTCGGATCGGAGTTAAATTTAGATTGAGAACAGCAAGTGTGGGCATGTTATTGTGAACGGCCCCAGAGTTCCTGTACTTAAGTGAGATGGGCGGTGCAGAACTTTAATAAAAAATAAAAATGCAATTAGCTACGACGTCTAGCCATCTAATTAGACATCTAATGGGGATGACCTAACCGCATTTCTTAAAATTCCACCTTTTCCCATCGTTTTCCAGCTGCATGCAGCTGGAATTGCAGCCTAAAGACTCGGCTCCGCATCAAACAGCCCGGCCTTCCAGGTCCAGCGGGGGCCGGAGGAAAGATCAGAACTTCTCGCCAACGGCCAACCCCGAAGGACAGGGAGGCGTGGCAAGGCCCAATCAGCCGCCGCCTTGCGCTATGATTGCCCCGCCTCTCCTTTGCACCTGCCACCTGTCCGTCAGGTGATTTTACTGACCGATGGGCTAATTGAGGGGCAGCTGCGCAGCGGCGGGCATTCTTCGTTGGCTCGTAGCGGGAAACTTGCCCTAAGCTTGGGATTTTGACTTTGACTCTTCGCACGGACAGTAGGTAACGGGGGATTTTCCCACGCTAGCGCCGTCTTTAAGTTTATCCGAAGTCAAATCCGTTTGCTTTAGTAGGGCATAGTGAACGGGGGATTAAGCGTGCAGTTCTTCCACGCCCATTAGGAAGCAGAAAGTATAAATCCTGCCGCTGTTTGCGGAGGTGGGGGGGGAGTTCTACCAATTTATTGGAGCCTGTTTTGGCCTAATATGCTATCATGGGGCCAACTGGAAGAAGGCTCCAGGTGCATTCAGTGAATGGAAAATAATAATAATAATAATAATAATAGTTGGAAAGGACCTTGGAGGTCATCTAGTCCAACCCCCTGCAAAGCAGGAAACCCTATACCACTTCAGACAAATGGCTTCCAGTCTCTTCTTAAAAACTTCCAGTGTTGGAGCACTCACCACTTCTGAAGGCAAACATTCCACTGGTTCATTGTTCTTACTGTTAGGAAATTTCTCCTTAGTTTTAAATTTCTTCTCTCCGTGGTTTTAACTGTTGTTTCTTGTCTTGCCTTTTGGTGCTTTGGAAAATAGTTTGGCTCCTCATCTTGGTAGGAGTCTCTCAAATATTGGAAAAGTGCTATCATGTCACCCCTAGTCCTACTTCTCAATTGCTTTATTTTTATTACTTTATATTTTAATTATTTTTATTATGTAAAATATTTTTTTATTATTTTATTAACTTTATTCTTTTCATTTGCTGTATTCAGAGAACACCGCTCCCCTCCTTCAAATTGCTGTGGCTGATATATTTGGCTGCAATTTTTGAAATAAGATATTGTCAGAATTGACTTGTAGCAAGATGGGCGGTTAAATAATAAAATAAAATAAATCCTGTGAGGCCAGTTGGGCTGAGAGACAGAGAGAGAGAGAGTGACTAACTCAAAGTCACCCAGCTGGCTTTCATGGCTAAGATGGGACTTGAACTCTCAGCCTTCAGCTTTCAGCCCAATACCAACTGCAAAGTTCAAATCTTTTTTGGTATGTAAACAGCAAAAACTTTGTGGCTCTTTTAGTCCATTACTCCAAAACAATCTGAAATTGGAAACATCACATCCTGTAACACAAAGAAGACATATGGATACAAGTTTCTACATCTAACCACAGATTAAGAGAAACTGAGTAACATAAACAAAAGGAAATAACAGCATTTAAAGTCAATAGCACCTCTGGCTGTTATTTTGGAAAGGGCAGGATATTTATTTATTAAATTTGTTTGAAAGTCTGGTTAATAAAAAAAATCAAAATGGAGCTGCATTGCACATCACAGCTGTTATCTTGATTTTTTTTTCCCCGACCACACCTGTGGACGCTGCTGAGCTGAGCAAGCAAGAGGAAGACCCTCCATGATGAGGCGAAGGAAGAAGTGGGGACAATTCTGAGGGGAAAAATGAGGGAAATTATGTGTTTGCCGCCATCTTTGTTCAGAGCAGAATGGCTTCTCTTCAGGAAGGGTGGAAAACAATCCTCTTTCAGCTGACCTCCATTGAAATGAAATTATCTCCCAGATAATATTCTGAGCAAAATGTTTCTCTTGTGAGGGGGAGAACAAAACATTCCACCTTTTGAAATGCCCACATATTTAACCTTCCAAAGCACACCATTTGCCTTTTAACTTTGGGTACATGAAGTGCCGAGTGAGTTTTTGGAAAGCTTTTTTTATGCTAGGTGTCAAATTGCAAACCGGAGGTGGGGGGGGGGAGGGGAGAGAGAAGAGGCAGACATGATCTTAGGAGGCCTTGTTTACTTTATTTATTTATGTATTTATTTATTTATTACATTTGTTTCCAGCCTTTCATTCAGGTGCTCCAGCAGCTCTTTAGTTTCTTACCCCCCCCCCCCCAAAAAAACCCTGTGAGGTAGATCAGGCTGAGGGGGATTAACCTGAGTGTAAATGATGAGGGACTTTGAACCCAGATTTCCCTCGCCATTATCCCACCCCTGTCTTTCAAAACAGTACAGTAGAGATGTTGGAGGGCAGATCATATGACAGCCATTAGCTTCCATCTGTAAAAAAAAAAAAAAAAAAAGAGGGGCTCCTTTAACAGGAGAAATCTTTTCCCCAATTAATTATTTCATGGTGAGATGGGCGGCAAACAAGTTTGATAATTAAATAAATAAACTACAGTTTCCTGGGCAAGCTGTTCAAAATATTTTATCTTGGTAGCCATGTGGCTGTGGGGCTAAGGGGAAATTTCCTGCCTGAATGGGAATTTGAACTTGGCTTGTTTCCCTCATCATATTTATTTATTTAGTTAGTTAGCTATATTTTTTTATTTTCATTTTAACTCAATAACTCAAGGGGGCGAGCATATCTGACACACTCTCCTTCTGTTTTCCCCACAAGAACCCTGTGAGGTGAGTTGGGCTGAGAGAGAAGTACTGGCCCAAAGTCACCCAGCCAGCTTTTGTGCCTACAGCAGAACTTGAACTCATGGTCACCCACTTTCTAGCCTGGAGCCTTTAATCACTAGTTGTACACTATATATAGTGTAGCAGTTAAGATTAAACCAGGTGGCTGTGAGTTCTAGTCCTGCCCTAGCCATGAAAGCCGTGTGGGTGAGTTTGGGCCACTCTCTCCCAACTCACCTCAACACAATTGTTGCTGTGGAGAAAATAGGAGAAGGAAGGAAATATTAGGTATATTTGCCATGTTGAGTTACTTATTATAAAGTAATAAAGACAGGGTTAAAAAAAAACCTAATAATAAAATATATAAGAATGCTGGGCCTCTGAACTGTTTATTCTCGTTTTCTACCTCGCACCCAGTCCCGAATTCAAAGACAGTTATAGAGATGTCTACAGAAAGGAAGGGAAGAGGTCAAAAGATGGTGGTCATAACCCTGTCCATTTTTAAAATCTAATCCTACATGGGCAACTCTTTGCTATCCCAAAGGCACTTTATGCAATTGTTCTATACTTACTGAATTGGGAAGAACAGCCTGAGTTCAGTTCAAATTAAGCTGTTTCTCTCTCTCTGATGAGCTCAAATTGAGGGAAACCTAGGGTATAAAACCATTTAATTTTTTCTATTAATAACATGTTACCGAGTAGCCATTAGGCCAGCTCAGAATACAAAACATAAAATATGCAACAGTATTAAGATCATATGTTAAAAAATAAAAGACAAAAGAAAATGCAAATTGTATTTCTGTGTCGTCCCTACAATTTACCCAGATCCACAGAGGCAGTTCTCAACTGTATTTTGTTCAAATAAAGGGCCATGTTAGATGTAATTTTGGATCTAATCCAAAATCATGTGAATTTTGACTGCACATGAAATACATGGTTTTAATGTAAGTATCCCATTAGGCCATCTCATGTGCAGTCCAAAATAATGATTTTTGATTTTCTTAAATCACTGACATTCAAATACTAATGTATGTATTATGTCCTGTATCTCGGGCTCTGCAAATATAAATAGGTTTATCATGAGGGATTTGATTAAACTTTCCATATTAAACCATTGTGTCCAGTTGCCTAAATCTTAAGTAAATATCCCTAAGATGTTTGGGCATTTCTGTATTTAAATACTTGGCAATTTGTAAGGTGCATTTATCATCGGTGGTTCAGTTAAACCTAATGAGATCATTTTTTCTGTGATATAAATTCCTTAGATTTAATTTTTACTATTCTACAGGTTTTCATTTTTTTTGTGGAATATGAAGAAAATGAAAATCTGTATATATTTTGAAGGATGACAAGACGTAGTCGCATTTACAATATTTAAAACATTTAATATCTTATTTTTATGTATGCACATTGGTAGATCAGAAATTTACTCACATGAATTACAGAAGGTTATTAGTCATTAAGTTAGCTTATTAGAGACAAACACACACAAAAGTTTTTGAGACATGTTAATGATTAGAAGGTTTACTTTAATATTAGCTTTCGTGGATCTGATGCAAACATTTAAAGTGCTGTTGGCAATAGAATTTGGAAATAATTGCCTAATAATTTGCAAAAATATAGGAAAATTTGCAATATAGTTGTGTTTGGGGGAAATCTGTTAACGTTTCACTATTTTGTTTTTGGCAGGACAAGATGAAGCCTCTGGTTTCCTATTTTCTGGCAGTTTCTTTTCTTTTAATTATCTTACAAGAGAGTGTCCGAATGGAAGAATGCATCTTTAGAAAACTGGACAGGGAGGACAAAACATTTTGTAGGTAAGCTCATATTCCTTTATAAGTGGTATAAGGCATTTTATACCAATTTCCATTCATCATGACCATGACACCCATAAAGCAAATATTTTATACAACATCAGTAACATTTTCAGATTTAAGTATTAATCAAATGTACATAATTGCCTATCTCATTGAAGGCAAGTCTGGATAGTGCATATAATAATAATTAAAACAGAAAATATAAAAATAGAAATTGCAAATATAAAAACCATAGGAATAAATATCCTTTAAAAAGTGCCAAAAATTGTATTATATTTTTGCAGTAAGATATTAACATGATCCTAGAAATTGACTTTTATGTTCAATTTCTGACAGAGGGAATCTAGAAATTTTCTATCCAGAACTGGGAGATGTTGGCTGTACATATATTCCAAAGTGCAATGCCTATCGTAAACGGATCAGCAAGGAATGGATCAGCCCTGAAGTTAGATATCAGCAGGCAGATATGGTAAGAACTTAACTACTGTATGTCATTTTATGCAGACATTTCTGAGGGCAATTAGATATTTTCATTCATTTTCATACATTGCTCTTTTTTCTTAACACTGCCTATAATCACATCTGCAAAAAATGTATGCTTTGGGATGTTCCTCTATAGCATGTATCTGTGTTTGAATGTATATGCATACACATACAAATGAACCCCTACATGTGTCATTGCATGATGGTTAGTAGGATGTAGTGGGATTATCTTCAGCTTGATTTGTCCTCCACCCTATGGCTGGATTATTTTATGCTTCTTTGTATTCATTCATTTCTCTGGTGACTTGGCATTGTATTAAATTTGACTGATAAGGATTCTCTCTTATAAAATTTAGGATGAAGCGAATAGAGATCACACTCTGTAATATAAATACATTACAGAGTGTGATTCCTATCCACCTCATCCTAAATTTTATAAGAGAGAAGCCGTTAGTGGTGGTTTGAAGTTACAACGGCACTGAAAAAAATGACAATGACCATTTTTCACACTTATAACCATTGCAGTATCCTCAGGGTCACGATTTACATTCAGATGCTTGACAACTAGTTTATATTTATGACAGTTGCAGTGTCCCGGGATCATGTGATCATCTTTTGAGACTTTCTGACAAGCAAAGTCAATGGGGAAGCTAGATTCACTTAGCAACTATGTTACTAATTTAACAGCTGCAGTGATACACTTTACAAATGTGGCACGAAAAGTCATAAAATGGAGCATAACACACTTAACAAATTTTTCACTTAGCAACATAAATTCTGGGCTCAATTGTATTTGTAAATTCAGATACTATATTTCTCAGGATATGTGTTGTCAATCATGTAAAATCCTAGCTCCTTCCTATGCAGACACTGGAGTTCAAGGACCTCATGTTCAACTGTCAGAAATTGTGAGACATCCTAAAAGCAGAAGCAGAAAGGATTGTAATCTTACCATTATGGATTATTACTGTTCCATTACATCACATTTTATCTCTTCAGGGTCAGGCAGCAAGTATAGCATGATTACCTCTGAATGTGACCCATCCAACAGTGGTTTATATTGCACTTTTCTCCATAGAATTTTCCAAGCAGTCTTGAGCAAAATTTTCTCTGCTTGTGGTCATTACCAAGCCCAGCCAATTTGAAGAAAGTCTTCTTTCCTAACCACAAAAATGTGTCTACAATGAGGGGGTGAGCAGGTGTACAGTCATAGTGTGACTATAAGAAGGTAATGGTCTCCTGTGGTGAGAGCAAACAACATTAATCTAAGACCTGCTTTAGCTTGGAAAACTTTGAAGGCCTTGAAACTCACCCTTTCAGGAAACAGTTCAAGAAGTTGTAAATAATGTTGCTGCAACTGAACAAGCAAGGAGTAATGAAATACCACACAAATACCTAAATACACTAATATCCCCCCATTAAACAAGACCATGTATAAACTTATTTTTTTTAAAGAAACTAACAGAAAACAAAGAAAAAGATTTTAAAAACCAGACTAAATATGTATTTATATTTAGATAATATATATTTACATTAATATAAATGTATATATCTGCTTATATATGTATATACAATGTATATACATTTAATAAATATATCTACTTTATATATTAAAGAGTCATTGGTTTACTAATGAACACCACATACTAATAATATGTAGAGTAGTAAGTTCAGTGAGCTCTGATGGCATACATATCATAAACACAAAGGCAGGTGTACCAACTGTATTATAATTTCCCTGTGTGGAATTACTGGAGTGTGACTTGCTCCTGGAATGTGATAATGATGTTATCCATTCATTTGTGTCTGGCTCTTAGAGATTCTGTGGGCCAGGTCTCTCCACATCTCCTGATCTTACATTGCTTGTTTTAATTTTTCTGTGCTCTGTCTGGTGTTAGCTTTGATAGTGCCCAGCCACCGTGTTCTTTGGAAGCCTGGTTTCCTTTTACTACTAACTCTTCCAAACAGAATTGCTTTCTCCAGTGAATTCCCCTATATGACATGGCCAAAATAAGTGGGTCAAAATAAGGATATTGATGGGGAGAGGCTATTTGCTGATCTAGGTATTGCACAACTGTCAAACTCGATCATGTATCGTGACGTATCACCATATTTTTTGCCTTTGCGGAGCTGGGGTGGGCGTGGCCTATGCATGATGCATCCGGCCCATGGGCCACCAGTTTGACACCCCTGAGGTATAGAATGACAAAATGCTGCCCCATTGATGTGACTGTAGCTGTAGACTGGAAGATATACCTTGTTACACTTGTCCTCTCCCAAATGACCGAATCTATATCAGAGACTACTTTATTTCTACCTTTCTAGTGGAATATCTGCTGTCAGGACAGTTGTAATAGAGGAAGAATTCCACTACGATATTTGGACTGTTCTACTGTTGGATTGGTTGTGTGTTTATAGTCCCACATCAAGTCCTTAATAGCCTGGAAATACTCTGACTAAGAATAAGCAGGAATGGTGTCTTGTAAAATGTTTACAGTATTATAGTGGAGAAAAGCCACTAGATGACACTATTGTCCTTGTCATTACATTGCATAACAGATGAAATTTCCCTTAGGATGCTGAAGTTAACTCTGTTTTCCACTTACAACAACAAGGCATATCTCAGACTTCTGCTTTTTCAGAAAGACTGCATTCCAGTAATCCAAGTTATTTAAAGAAAGGGAGAGAAGTATTGTTTTTGTACTTGAGTTGATGTTTGCACACTCCCAAAGTCATTTTGTTAAATTGGGAGGTTATATCTCTTGTAGCCCTATGGAATATATTACTAAAGCCTATTGTATTTTTTGTGATTGTTGTTAAAGGTCCTAAAAATATCTCTCCACACGTGTAGGTCTTGAATCCTTTCTCAGGACCGCTCTATATATCCTAGGAAAGTATTTAGGCACAGTATTGTATAGGTTCCTTTTTCTCTACTATGTTTTATGCTACAGTAAGAGCTAATTTATTACTGGCTATGACTCTAGGGCTGATGGAATGACAGTGCCTGTACATCGTTCAATGTGTTTTTGTAATGCAGAATTAAATCAGCTTGCCTGTATGCATTTTTTTCCTGTTTGTCAGCCTTGAGGGCTCTTCTGGGTCTCTCCAGAAGCTCTGGGAGATAAATTAACAGAAGAGTTTCCTAGAGTGTGGTTGGAAAAAGATGGAGTCTGATTGAGCAGACTCATTCAGAGTTTACATTTGTGATTAGAAGAGTTTACATTTCTGATAAGAGTTTACATCTGTGATTATACTGAGGTGATAAAGATACCTATTTTCTGTGGTTACTGCATCTTACTGCAGCAGCCCTTTGTAAAGTGAGACTAATCCTGGGCCTACAAGTCTGGGGCAACTTTCCTCTCATTTCGATCTCCTTTTCTCGGGAAATTTGTTAAAGTGATCAGACCTTCAACTTCAAAGAACCCTGGGAGGTGCATAGACCTTTCTGATTCGGAGACTAGATTTGAATGAGTTGCACTTTCCCATATGGAACTAATGTGCAATTTAGGGGTCTTGCTAGACTTTCAGCTCTTAGTTGAAGAGCCAGTGAAAGCTGAAGGCAAGAAGGCCTTGACTTTTGATCTTCTGAATGAGCAATTGTGCTCATTTCTAGATCAGAAGACCCTTCCCACAACCACTCCTACTTTAGTTACCTCACATGTGGACTACTACAATTCTCTCTATGAAGCTGCCCTTGAAAAATACTTGGAAGCTTCAGCTGTTCCAAAATACTATTGCTGCTGCTGTTGTTATTTTATCCTTCCTTTTTTTATATATAACTCAAGGCAGTGAGCATATATAATACTCCATCTTCCTCCTGTTTTCCCCACAACAAAAACCCTGTGAGGTGGGCGGGCTGTGAGAGATAGTGAATAGCCTAAAGCCCTCCAGCTGGCTTTCATACCAAAAGCAGGACTAGAACCAGTCAGCCAAAGGCAAGACTAGAACTCAATCTCCTGGTGATTAGCCCAAAGTCACCCAGCTAGCTTTCCTGCCTAATATGGGCCTAGAACTCACTATATTCTGGTTTCTAGACTAGCACCACTACACTAAATGATTCTTTATGATGGAATGTGCAGATAACTTTGAGGTAACAAGGGGAAGAGGTGCTGCCTAGGAAACAATAAGACAAGAGAAGCAGGATCCCCCCCCCACTTAATAATTCCAATTTCCTCAGGGAAAGATTTCATTTTGTTTCTGAACAGAATGGCAAAAAGCCAGATTACTTTATTTGTCATGATTATTTTAGAATGACTAAAATACTAGGTTTTGAAAAGAATCATATGCAGTTTGAATATTGATGGATGGTAAGAAAACCCAATTCTTGAAATAGCATCTTTAGCATCTTCTGTGGCCTTAAATATTTATATTGGGGTTATCTGGTCATTAAAATGTTATACTTAGGTAGATTCTAAATCTTCCTGAAAGATGGAGGTTAACAAGATATGAAAGATCTTACTATGTACTATGTAATTGTTCAAGTGTCCCCAAGTGACTCTACATATTAAATAGGTTTTTCATTGCCTGTTACATTCAGTCAGCCAGCAGAGAGCATAGCATGGATAATATATCTACAAACCTCCTGTCTATAAGCTATATGTGGCTCACTTTTTAATTTCTCCCAAATAACTTGGTAAATTTCCAGACAAGTGTCTCTTGAATTACAATAAAAAATACATAAAGTGCTAAGATTTGGAGAATGTGATAATATATTTTAAAACATATATCAGGCAAAGGAAGAAGTATAATAAAATGAAAAATATGGGTTTGAGATTTCAAGTTCATGGTGATTTTAAGTAATTGATTTATTTAAATATATCTAACCCACTTTATATCAAGAGGCAATTAATTTAAAAAGTCTTCAACTATGATCACAGGGCATTTGGCAAACAGTTTATCAAGTGCTCAAAATGTGTTTAGGGGTGGGTGAGCTGGCATGAGATCTTATGATGGGTGGAAGCAATTTATGAGTTGTGAAGCACCCGT